ACTCCCTGCAGAGCAGAGAACCGGATGCAGGGCTCGATCCCAGGACCCTGGGATCATGACCCAAGCCGAAGGCAGAGGCTTTAACCCGCTGAGCCACCCAGGCACCCCACATCCACTCTTGTCTTTTAAATTGATCCCTCAGTGTATATACTCCAGATGGTGCAAAACCATAGCTATATTTTACTAAGAGTTTTTCGATGAGTGTGCTTTGCAGTTATCTTTGTAATCACTCATTAACAATTGTTAATTGTTAATGAGCCCCTGGGTGGCTCAGTAGGTTAAGTGTCCGACTCTTGATTTTGGCTCAGGTCATGATCTCCATGCTGGGTGTGGAGCCTGCTTAAGATTCTACCTCTCCCTCTGCTCCCCCCTCGCCCCCAAAACCCACCAAAACCAAGAAACAACTGCTAATACAGATAATATACCTGCTTTTACAGGGGAACTTTTACTGAAGCCACTCTCCGTGGTGTCTGTCCCTGTTACCTGTTGGTGTGTCACAAGCCATCCCAACACTTAGTGGCTTATGACAAGAATCATCTTCCTCACAGATGTGAAATTTGGCGGGGATAGCTCATCTCTGCTCTGCATGGGGAGCTCAGCTGGGACTGGAGGATCTCTTTCCAAGATGGCACACCCACATGGCTGCAAGTTCGTTCAGGCTATTAGCTGGTCATGCGCCTCACTTCCTGTCTACACGGGCCTTTCTCCATGGGGTGGCTGGGTTCCCAAGAAGCAGTGAAGTTGCCTGTCCTCTCGGGCCTGTACCCAGAAATCGGTGTGGCATCATTGCTACCATGTTCTTTTGGTCAAAACAGTCCCAGAAGCCACCCTAAGTCAAGGGGAGGGGACACACACCTCACATCTTGATAGAAATTGTCATAACCTTTGCGGCCATCTTTAATGTACCATGGTGCTTCATGGCACAGGCTTCTGGATTCATCTCCTTTTCCTGATTGACTGATCTGAAACTGAAACAGAGCTGGTGTGAAGGGGGCTCATCTCATACACTTTCATACTTGCTGTATTTCTAAATTACAATGACGGGTTATAACACATGGTGAACATTTCTAGCTAGATAGCATCGTCTTTTTTTCTGGTGGTGAGACTTTTCTGCACCTAACTAATTTATAATGATTTGGAATGACTCGAGAGACTGGTCTGAGACGATAATATCTCCAAGAGAATCGGGGAAAAAAAAAAAAAGGCGGCAGACTTTTGAAACATTTTGCAATGAGCATGAAACTCGGGACTCTCTCCAGAAGAGTCGGCAAATCAGTATGCAGAATTGAGAAAGGAGTGAGACAGGATATTCTGCTGGTCTTTTCTTCCCTGCTTAAATACAGCTGTTCTTTTTTTTATTTCAGGGTTGATGGATTAGTCGTGTGATGTACTTGGATCAAATACTTGGGCGAAAGCCTCTCGTCCATTTGCCTATCAGCTTCCCTTGATGGCGGATTTACATTCTGTCTGGATGCCAGATTGAATTAAATGCTTCTTCAAGGCCTGCAGTCTGACAAAATCCTCTCCCCAGTCAGCATTTTTACTGTATTAAAAAAAATTAGCATCTGCAGGGAAATGATGTGGCCTATGGGTTTCTTTTCCAGGGAAGAATCCAATTTAGCTTTCGGGGCTGATGTAATTGGTCAGAGAACCGAGGATCCTAACTGAGGCTGGAGCCTGGGGGAGGCGGATGCTCCAGATTCCAGAGCTTTCCTCGTCCCATCTGAGTCATCCTGCCCCCACCTGGGTTGCACGGATGTCTGGCTGATGGAATGGATGAATCCTCCTTTTGAGGGTACGTTTCTGTGCAATCAGCAGTTCAACATTGTCCTGCCACCCGGTGGGGCACGCACACTTTATTTCCTGTTTCTTAGGTTTGAGAGTTGTGTCCCTTAATTTCTTGTTCGCCAGTGTTCACTAGAAGGAAACCCCCAGGTGACGTGGCTGCGTTAATGATTTAATATTTAGAGGACGGCTGGAAGGAAGTGGATTTTCAAAGCACGTCACCACCGACCTGCTGTGTAGTTGTTCTCAGTATAAGAATGGGGAGAATAGGGTAGGAATAGGGGAATAGGATTAACTGTCTCTTAGGGTTGTGGTGACAAAGTAATGCAGGTAAGTTACTTAGAGCATGTATTCGTTATCTATCGCTGTGTAACAAAACATGCCCCCCAAAGCCCCTGAAATGTAGGGGCTTCCGACAACAGGCATTATCTCCACGTTCTGTGAATTGGGAGTCAGGGAGTGGCTGAGCTGGGTGGGTTCTGGCTGGGGGTCGCTCATGGGGCTGTGTTCAAGGTGGTGGCCAGCCCTGCACCCATCTAAAGGCTGGACTGGAGGACGATCTGCTTCCAGGCTTACACACCTGGCTCTTGACAGGCATTAGTTCCTTGCCACATGGCCAAGGAGCTCTCCATAGGTGCCTGGATGTCTTTGCAACATGGCCCGCGGGAGTGATGAGAGAGAGAATGGTCTCTGGGCGGGTGAATGCTAGTCTTTTTATAACCTAATCATGAAAAGGACATCCTGTGGCTTCTCCTCGTTTGCCGTTAGTGAATCACTTGGTCCTGCTCTCACCCAGCAGGAGGGGAACGAGTGCCAGCTCTGTGGAGGAGAAGCAGCAGAGGATTTGTGAGCTTTCCTTTCAGGCCACGGCACAGTTCTGGGTACATAGTAAATACTTGGTAAATGATTAGATGTTAGGGTTAATTTAGATAAATTCACTTCTTGGTGATTTACTTTATAGACAGACTTTAGTGACACCTTCATTTTTATTTGAGGAACAGAAGGAATTTGGGGCTCTACAGTGGATTGGAGATTATGCCCGGGGGACCTGTACAAGACGAGGATTTTTTTACCTTTCATTTTCTGTCACTCGGAGGGAAGGAAGATTTCTCCAGAGATCTCCTCTTTTGTATTGGATCAGTCGGTTTGAAGACTGTAGCAGAGAAGCGGGCACCACTTAAAATTCCCTTCTTGCGGGGGGTACATCTTCCCCCTCAACACTGGGTGTGGTGTCTTCTGGACTTGGGAGAGGGATGAAACCATGGGCACCATGAGGACCCAGGCAGAGCATGTGCCCTGGGAGGGCTTCCGGCTCCTCTCACCCCCAGCAATTTAAATCCCAAAAGCAAAGATGATTTTTAAAAAAATAAATGTATTTCACTATACAGTGTAACCACACATTTGGAGAAAGAAAAATGCCTCCATAAACCTCATAGGACTACTGTTGACATTCTGTGATATGTCCTTTCCAGGCTCCCCCATCTGTGGCTTTCCAGCTTTACACAGCTTTAAGTAGTTCACAACTAACTACACTCTCGTCACCTGCTTCTTTTCTATTGGTTTTGTCACACATGTATGTTTTATGGCATGGCCCTTCCCCATCTCTGGGAGGTTTTGAGAGCCATGTGGTATTTTATTGGGTGAATGTCCCATCAGTTACTTAGTCTTTTTTTTCTCATTAATTCCAATCGGTTGTGTAATAAAGATAGTATTTTTGTGTGTTGTATTCTGCTGTCACTGTTTTTACCCATGCTGTTTGCCTTTTACTTTTTATCCTTTTCTTTAAATGGTCACATTACTGATATTAGTTAAGTATGGGAGGGAGGGAGCCTGGCTGGCATGGTCAAGTGGAATGTGACACTTGATCTTGGAGTCAGGAGTTCGAGCCCCACGTTGGGTGTAGAGATCAGTTAACAAAACAAAACAAAACACAGAATTTCACCTGGAATATTAACTAACTGGAATTTAAATAAAAACTTAAAAAAAAATAGGTATGGGTTGGAAATGTTAAACCTTCTCCTCTGGGGAATTACCCCATTGCTTCTGAAGTCGGACAGTCCTTGCTTTCCCTTGTCACCTCCAGTTTCCATACGGCTTTTAAAAATTGCTCTGAACTTAATTCTGAAGTATGAAATAGGAATTTGAAGTGAGATTTATTTTCTTTTCCAAATTACTGACCAGTTTTACATGGAGAATACCAGGGAAGGCATCTGATCAGCTGCACCATGGAGCCAGGTCTTATGAAACACAGACGAAGCTGGCTGAAATTCTGAGGGCATCGACGATTTGGCAGAGGACAGGAGCAGAAGCCGAGGTCACGCAGGCGTCGGTGAATTGTTTGTTGCAGCACCATGAACTTCGACTGGGAGAAGGCGCTCAGCTGCCTTCAGTGGCTGGAAAGGTGTGATGTGTGTGGCAGGGTCTGCAATATGGGAACAGTCCTAGTGAAAAGATTTGTTTTTAAAAAAAAAAGTCTTAGGAAAGGAAGGGGGAGGTGCTGACGGGGCCCAAATCCGGTTCACGTATCACCTGTAAGAAACACGGCAGACCCAAGGCTCTGGGATCAGGGAGAGATCTTTAGATATTCCCGCCCCCAGGGAAGCTATGCCAAGTATTGTCACACGCTTGGGCTGCAGAGTGTCACGGCTCTAACTGCACACGACTGGAGAGAGAGGGATCTGCAGACAGGAGGTGGGCCCAGTAGTGGAGGCCAAGAGGAAGTTTCCAGAAAAGGGCCGTGGATCCAGAAAGCCTGCGTCCCTTAAATTCTGCGTGGATGCAGGGACCCAGTAAGAACGGATGAAAAAGCAATCATCTGGGTCCTGGCTTTGAAAAAATCACCAAGATTATTCTTCTGTATGAATGCTTTACGCGGCCTGACGGGCGCATATGAAGGGAGCAGATTCCTGGTGGGGAAGAAGAGTGAGGACCGCTGGGCAACCAGAGAGCAGAGGCCTTGTCGTCGTCACACAGACACAGTTAGAAACGCCTCCTCGCACACGCTTTGAACCAACAACAGGTGGAGCCGGCCCCTCGCAAATAATCCTCCCTTCCAGCATGGGGACAGTTTTACACAACTCGCTCAGGCAGACCAGAGGCAGGGCGGTTTGGGCTGTCAGAGGGCAGGGGCAGGGCGAGCGGCAAGTGCCGAGCGGGAGGGGAGAGCGGACGGCACAGGCGCTGAAGACAGAAGTCAGGGAGCGCAATCCTGGGGCAGGCGCCGCTCTGAGTCCTGCTGCTCCGGCAGAAGCCCGGTGAGATAGGGTGGCTCTGCAGGAGCTGTCCCGTCTCTGCCTGGTGACAGCGGGCCTATGATGATAAGCTGGGCTGGCCCCTGCCCCGGGTTCTGGAAACATGGATGGGGGCAGGGCGAGGCAGAGCGGTGAGGCGGGCAGGGTGGCACAGACCTCAGGGGACCCAGACAGGGATGCCTGGTGGGACCCTGGGAGTCACCTAACTTCTCTAATCTGATCGCTTCATCAGGGGTGACAGTCCCACCTGCCCCAGATGGCTGAGGATGTTAGAGCTTCGGTTTGAAGTGCCTGCCTCGAACCCTTCTGAAGATGAGGACAGCTCAACTGGGGACACAGTCCGCAGGCGGGTGGGATCCCAGTTCACCTGATGAGTGGACCAGAAGGAAATGGGACCGCTGGGCACTTATGGGGACAGAACCGAGCCAGCCTCGTGCCCAGTGGCAGTTCACTTGCAGACAAGCCTGGCTGTGGAAGGCGGCTCCCACCTGGCCAAGGGTGGCTTTCTCAGGACCTCATCTCCCAGGCGCCCAAGGACCAGACTGGAGGGGAGACCACCGCATGGCCACCCCTCACAGTGGCCTTGGTCACCGTGACAGTCTGAGTGTCTCTGGCAACCATGTGTCAGTGAGACGGAGGGGCCAGCTGGGGGCCTGGCTGGGAGCCTCCTGGTAGTCACAGCTCCTCCTTGTTGCTCTTGAGGGGCCGGACTGGGGGCCCCGGGGCCCGGGAGCTACCCAGTGGCCTGCGGGCCCCGTCCTCATGGCGCCTATCCGCCGTGGTGTAGTCCCGCAGGAGCCCGCTCTCTACCCCGTGCCGCCGGAGGCTCTCGGTCCCCACGAGCCCCTGTGCTCTCAGGTACCCCTGCTGGCAGAAGGGCGGCAGCTTCTGGTGTGTTAGCGCAAACAGGAAGCAGGATTCTACACAAAAGCAAAAGATGAATGAGTAAGACCCAGAGGTGTGGGGAGAGGTGTGGGGGGAGGGGGGTACTGATGCCCCGGGGCCTCACCCAGGGCCCTCCACCCCGTGAGTCCGGGAGCTGACTTTTGTGGGGCTCATCCCTCCCTGAAGTTCTAAGGATGGTGCCCGGACATTCTGGAAGAACGAGGCTCTAGACGGAAAGCAAACCACAGAAATGACTCAGGTCCCGAGATCTGGGCCCAGTCCACTGGGAGCTCAGCTACTGCGGAGCAGACCCTCAGCCTTCCCTTCTGGAAGCTGGCCTGGCTGGGGCCGGGAGCTCAGAGCTGCCTGCAAGGCTTCATTCCCTCAGCCATCTCTGGGTTGCAGATATGGTGTGGAAAGCACTGGTGTGAGCCCTGTGCGGGGGTGGGGGAGGGAAGAGAACACTGGGGAACAGTGCAAAGCTGGTGCACGGGTCAAGTCGGCCCTGTCAGGAAACAGCTGTGGGTACTTTTTATTCAGAAATACAAAGAAACCACCAGAAGAGCCAGAAGTACTTCCTTCTGGGACTGAGGGTGGAAGTGAGAAAAAGTCTTTTAGCTGAGTGCTTATGTAACTTTGACTTAAAAAAAAAAACAGAAAAGAGGGCTACCCGGGTGGCTCAGTCGTTAAGCATCCGCCTTCGGCTCAGGTCATGCTCTCAGGGTCCTGGGATTGAGCCCCTTGGGCTCTCCGCTCAGCGGGAAGCCTGCTTCTCCCTCTCCTACTCCCCCTGCTTGTGTTCCCTCTCTCACTGTCTCTCTCTCTCTCTGTGTGTCAAATAAAGAAAGTCTTAAAACAACAGAAAAGATGAAACAGATAAGGGACTCGGTCTTCTCGGGGATTGAGAGACAGGATGGGAAGGAGTGCACATCCAAAAACTGTCTTGAGCCTTTGATCTCAAAAAACTCGGGCACGTTACAAAGGATGTTGTGAGGCCCACATGGGTGAACAGGCTCTAAGGGGCCACGCGGACGGCACTTCCGACCTCAGTTCTGACTTCCGGTCCAGATGTTCCCCTGGCAACACAGGGCATGACAGTCCTCCCCGAGCAGGGAGAACCGTGGTGCAGGGGGAGGCTGGGAGAATGGCAGAAAGGGGGCTTTGGGCAAGCACCACCTTCTGATGACATAGGTCACCCCTTCTTCAGGGCCCCGGGGGGGCAGGGAGGGGGCAGAGAAGCCCAGCAGAATCCAGGGCCAGAGCTAGCGGCTGCACATCAACCGAGGGAGTGGATGGCAGTGCCCTCTGCCAGTGGGCCCCGAGGTCTGGGTGATGTACTTGAGGCAGCCGTAACCCAGGGCGGGACATGCTCCCTCAGGGGCATGGCCATCTTTGAGTAATCCTGAAACCTTGAAAAACAGCCATTTTGTAGTGGAGAGTTCTAGACCTGCCTCCCGTCACTTCCCGGGCGAGTGCGTGAAGGCAGGTGATGGTCTGCAGAAGGCCAGCACTGGAAGTTGCTTAGCCCTGTGCTGTGAATGAGGTCTGAGCATCTACATATATTTAGACAATCAGCCTGCACTGCTGTTTTAAGCCAGCTCTCTCAGTGTATACATCTTGATTTTGAGGTTGGCCAACGACGTCGCTTGGGGCTGAAACAAGGACACGTGTCCTCTGACCTGCAGGCCAGACACTGACCATCTTGCACCTGATTTGATTTGAATAGTACCTGACATACGACTGCTGTTCAACACATATTTGCTGAACAGAAAAGGGCAGATATTCTAGGCATTCGGTGGGTTTTAAAAAAGACCGAAATTGGGCCTGTTTCTGTCACTTCTCCCTCTGGGTCCTCAGACTTCTGTCAGAGCTACCTTCCAGTTCACCGATTCTCTTTTCATCTAACGTGCGACCTTATCTTTAGGTTGAGTTCTTTTTCTTTTTTTTACGTTTATTTACTTGCTTTCGAGAAAGTGAGCTTGTGAGCAGGGGAGAGGGATGGAGGGAAAGAGAGAATCCCAAGCAGACTCCCTGCTGAGCACAGAGCCTTGACACAGGGCTCGATCCCAGGACCCTGAGAGCATGACCCGAGCTGAAATCACAAGTCAGATGCTTAACTGGTTGAGCCCTCCAGGCGCCCCTAGGTTGTTTCTAGTTATATATTTTTTCATTTCCACAAGTTTTATTTGGTTCTTCCTGAATGCTGCCCAATTACATCTTTGATAATCTGTTTTCTCATTTCTTTAGATATTTTAGGCAGACTTTGCATCCTCTATTTTTAACCATTCCAATTCCCGTAGTCTTTTTGGTTTGATCCAGAAGTTTTTTTTTTTTTTTTTCTGCTGACACTCCCTCACAGAGGTTTGTGTCCTTATGTGTTAAGTGCTTTTTGCTTGGGGGTTGGGGGTGGGTTCAACTTACTTGGAACTTTATCTGTAGAAACTTTTTGAGCTCTAATTTTTTCTTTCTTTATTTATTCGAGAGAGAGAGAGGAAGAGAGCGGGGCCAGGGGGAGAAGTAGAGCAGGAAGGACAAGCAGATTCCATGCTGAGTGTGGAATCCAACTCGGGGCTCAATCCCAGGACCCTGAGTCATGATCTGAGCTGAACCAAGATTCGGTCACTTAACTGACTGAGCCACCTAGGCTCCCTGAGCCCTAGTTTTCTTTTATGTATATATGTATTTCTCCAGTTTTATTTTTTTAAAGTTTTATTATTTATTTGAGAGACAGTGCACGCGAGTGTATGCGTGTGCACAAGGGGGGAGGGGCAGAGGCAGAGGGAGAAGCAGGCTCCCCACTGAACAAGGAGCCTGACTTGGGTCTCGATCCCAGGGCCCTGGGATTTTGACCTGAGCCAAAGGCAGCCATTAACTGACTAAGCCAGCCAGGTGCCCCCGCCTTTCTCTAGTTTTAAAGTTTGTTTCTTGGGGCGCCTGAGTGGCTCAGTGGGTTAAAGCCTCTGCTTTCGGCTCAGGTCATGATCCTTGGGTCCTGGGATCGAGCCCTGCGTCGGGCTCTCTGTTCAGTGGCGAGCCTGCTTCCTCCTCTCTCTCTGCCTGCCTCTCTGCCTACTTGTGATCTCTGTCAAACAAATAAAATCTTTAAAAAAAAAAAGTTTGTTTCTTCACAGAAGACTTGCATTTCCTTCTGTGATTTTTACACCATGAGGACAATGTGAAGTTTGGCCCCAAACTCACATGAGGGAGGCTTAGTGTTTAGAAATTCTCAGGGGGAGATTTTCCCTTATTCTACCCAGAACCAAAAAGCCCGAGTCTCCGCCATCTCCCTCTTGAGAGTGTTTTGTGCCTCCTTGAGCCACTGAGATCTGAGCTTAGGTGAAGGTCTCTAAACAGACCTCCCTCCCCGCCCCAGCCTCACCTTCCCGCCCCCAAGCATGGCTCAGTTACAGAGGCTCTTGGCTCCTGCTGATGGCTGGCAGCTACCCCACGTCCAGCAGGGCCTTTATGCTTTTCTCAGAGCTCCTTTTCTCCCCCTGCCAGTTCTTTAAGAAATGAATTCTACTCAGCAACTTCAGGTGTGCTGGACTGGTAAGGGTCTCTCTGAACATCTCTACCTTGTGGATCACAGAATTCTCGGGTGTGGGTTCTTGTTATGAATTCTGAAAACTCCACAGGGCATGGATTGATCCCATCTTTTTTCGACCTCCTGCTCAGTCCTTTTGGTCCTTCTAGGAACTTAGGTTACCTGCATAGAAGCTTCGCAAATCGGTGTCCAAACAGTTCTCCAGGAAGCGCCTCAGAGGCAGGATATGCCCCACCGGGGCGGTCCAGTCGGTCAAGAAATCTTCCACGATGTGGTGGATGGCCGTGGGCCGAGGCAGGGCCCAGCCGGCAGGGCGGAACCTCACCTCCTGCTCTGTGGGGCAGAGAGGGGGAGTCGTGTCAGAGCCTGGAGGTTGGGCTTCCCATCCCGGAGATGACAATGTGGTTCCCACACGTCCTAGGTGCTTCCCTCGCTCCCTCGTGCTCGGCGTTCCCGACACACTGTGCTGGGCAGCTGCTGGCCTGTCCCACAGCCATCGCTGTGTCCGCAAGGCTGGCATGAGGAAGAGACTAGATCTGTTCTTTGTGGTGTCAGAAAGCGGAACCAAGACTAATGACTTGCGCCCGGGGTCTTTCTAAGGCGCACGTGGACTGAGGTTCTTTGTGACCGCTTCCGAACGGCCCTCTCTGGGCCACGACTCAGAGGCCCTGCCTCGCAAGGGGCCCGAGGGCTCACCTAGGCCAGCTTCGTGCCTGCTGTGGGGACCCTTCTGTGGCATCCCAGGCAGGCGGCCATTAAGCCAGGACTCAACCACCTTCGTACTGGGAAACTCGACTCTAGGGGTGACCCGTTCCACTGTGACAGCTCTGATTAGTTGCTGCTCCCGATTCTGATGAGAACCCGGAGTTCCTGTCGCTTATACCTGCTGACACCACCTCTGTCTGCTTTTAGGGCATCCTCTTCCAAGGGACAGCTCTTCAGTTTCTGAAGCAGGAGTGGTGTCCCCAGGGGTGGGGAGGGGGGGTTCACCTACTGGTAGCTACTCTGTGCCAGGTACCGTGCTGGTGTGCTGTGCTTTTTTTTGGGAAGATTTTATTTATCTTTTAAATAATCTCTACACCCAAAGTGGGGCTTGAACTCACAACCTAAGATCAAGAATCACATGCTCCACCGCCTGAGCCGGCCAGGCGCCCCACATTCTGTGTTCTTCATCTCATTTATCCTCACATAATCCTGCTGTTATCCCCATTTTTCAAATGAGGAAGCGGAGGCTCAGAGAGTTCCAGGAATGGTCCCAGGCCACACAGCAAGGAAAGCACGGCCTGAGAACACTGCCCAGCTTTTCTGTGCTTTTCAGGCTACCGGCCTGTGGTAACTACCTCCAGCACCTTTCCCCGGGCCCTCTGAGAGTCTGTCTCCAGGTCCCCTCTCCCTCCATGTTCGCCCTCCTTTGGACACACACAGCAAGGCTGTCCCTCTTGCTGTGTGTCGCCTGGAGGGGGTCACGACACTCCACGTGTGGCCTGCCCAGATCACGGTATGCGCCCAAATCTGGGAACACTGTTTCTTATTCCTGGACCTTCTGCCCCATTGGGTTTCTGGGTGGAGCTCCCCAGTGTCCTCTGCCAGCCGGGAGAAGTTGTGTGAGAGGTGACAGGTGTGACAGGAGAGAGACCTGGGGTCTGAGCAGTGCCCAGCTCCTGGAAGGAAGCCTGTGCTCGGGGGAGAGCAGAGGCCCGGCTCACCGGTGGGAAGATGCCTGTAGTAGTAGATGACAGGATGGAGGAAGTTAGACTGCCAGGCGTCTTCCGTGTGCCCCACAGACCGGTCATAAAAGAAGACGTCCTTGTCGGGCCCAGAGAAGTTTCTGCCATACTCCATGTTGATGACGAACAGCCCGTGCCTGGCCTTCCTTCCCGTGATGGTCTCCAGCTGGGCCAGCATCTGCACGGGGAACTCCTCCAGGTACTCAAATGCTGTGGCGTTCCTGGGGACAATGGCAGCACGGGAGGGCGAGACCCTCAGTGCTGTGGCAGAGCTGAGGAGTGTGTGCGTGCGCGCGCGTGTCCCTTGTACAGTGTACAGCTGCTGGTCATCCCCACACACCTCACTTTACCATTACTGTCACACTGAGCCCTGGCTTACACTGGGACAGATTCCAGAAAACTCCAAGCAACCTGAAATGTATCTGGGGAGTGGGTGACCCAGGCTGACAGGACAGTAACAGGAAAGCCCTGGGAGGGAGCGACTGCTGTGGTGTCTTCCAGGGACAGGAAGAAGGCCGATGTGGCTGGAGTGGCCTCGGGGGCAGGTCGAGGAGGGCTCATGTGTGCTCTGACGGCCCCCTGGCCCCTGGAGAGTACCGAGCAGAGCTGACTATGTGTGACTTGTGTTTTGAGAAGACTGTCAGGCCGCTGTGTGGAAAGCAGACCACGGGGCCAAGGTGGGAGGCCGTGGTTAGTTCAGGTGACAGACGCTGTGCCTCTGGACTAAGGCGGCAGTCTTGGGGCTGGGGAGAGGCGGTCAGATTCTTGATGTGATTTGAAGGTAGGGCTTACGGGGTTTATGGAGAGTCTGAAGTTGGAGAATGGGAATGGAAGAGAGGAGTCGGGGGGATGGGATACCTTGCTCTGATCACTGTGAAAACCTTGTGTGTCCCTGAACTTGGTGCATGTGGCCCTCCCTGGCTTTGGGTCGGGCTACTCCCCCTCTGTCTGAGGGATCCCCTCTGCTTCTCACCTGCCACCTGTCCTCGGAGCACCCTCACCCACAGCCCCTCTCCCTCCCTGCTCTGCTGGGTGTCACCTGGGATCTGCCACCTGCCACTTAATTGATAAGGAGCCCAGCCGGTCCTGGCCCGAGGGAGCCCGCCAATCCACACTGGGGGTTCACATCACTGCGGTTTACCCTCGTCCACCTGGGGCCAACTGTGGTCTCCCAGTGGCTTTTACTTCTGCCCACCAGGTGTGATTACCCCCACCGTGCGGGTGAGAGAAAGGCTCAGAGAGGCTATATGACTTGGTCCAGGTCACACAGGTCCCAAGTGGCAGAGCTACAATGCACATCTAGGGCTGTCTGTCTACCTGTGGTGTCGATTTCCCCGATGTTTGCCCCCAGAATCGGTCTCCCCTGTCTCCCCGCAGGCTTCCCCTGAGGAGGGAGCCCCGGGGCCCCTCCACACCTGGAACAGGCAGAGAAGAGCTAGGACAGGGTGAAGAAGGGTGAAGCCGGGCTACTCACTCCTTCAGCAGGACGACGTCAGCCAGCACACTGAACATCTGGTAGAGCCCAGAAGCCTCGTTCACACGCCGGACGATGGCGCTGGTCAGCTGTGAGGTGGGGAGCTCGGTGGAGGGCCAGGCGACACCGTGGTAGCGATGCTCCAGCAGGCGATGAACAGCCCGCACTGGAAAGGCCAGAGGGAGGGAAGGCACGACGCCCTTAAGATCTGCTCCTTCACCGCCTGATGCCTGTCCGGTCCCCACAGACTTCTTGGAACTCAAGACATGCCTGCATGTGTGGCGCCAAGAGGAGGCCTTTGTGGTGGGGTCAGTGGAGGCTTCTTACACCATGGGCCAGATGGACAGTGTTTTGGGCTCTGCTGCCTAATCGGTCAGGCTCCCCAGTTCTGCTTCCGGTGTGAAAGCAGCCCTGATGGTAGCTGCAAGGATGGGCGTGGCAGGCTCGGGCTCCAGGCCGCCCACACCACCCCTCCCAGCTGCTCTGTGAGCCCCAGACCCTGTGTCGGCCTCTCACCCTGCTCCGCTGGCCACAGTTCCCCTTTCTCTCAGGTCCCGGCTGAAGACCCTTTCAGCGTCCCCTCTCCTTCACTGCCTAACTCCAAACTGTCACAAAGACAGACTGATGTAAGGGCAGGAAAGCGACAGCTGTCCCTCTGCACAGAGTTGAGGACGGACACAGCGAATGGAGTCTGGGGACGGGCTCCTGATGAAAGGGCGACCATCTTGAGAGAGCCTGGCCCATTCTGAGAAGCAGGCGAAGGACCAGCCTGGAAAGGCGAGCTGGCCGGGGCCCGGCAAAGCTCGGCATGGCACCCCGAGGAGCTGGAGCGGTCCTGGGGGAGACGGGGAGTGTGGAGAGGGGCTTAAGCTGTAAGCAGAGAAAAGGGAAAATTTCTTTAAGAAACAGGTGTTTTGGCAGGGACCCTGCAGCTGGATGGGAAGCCAGAGAAACCTCTGGCAGCGGGAAGACCCGTTAGGAGAGACAAAGACGCCCGGGTCAGGGGAGGGAGGCCGGTGGGCTGACAGATCCAGCGTGGGGAAGGATGGGCTGGGCGTCGGGAGTAACTGTCCACACGGTTACGGTCTGTGCCCTTCCTACTTCCCCTTCTGTTGGCTTGCCTCTGCCTTACTGGCTGCTTCTGGTCTCCCCGGGGACCGGTTTCTCAGGTTGGGGCAGGATGAGCGGGATGTGCACAGCCGCACGGGCCCTCCCCACCGCAGGGCCCTCCGCTCCTAGTAGTGACCACACAGCGGTCGGCGCATGAACACCCAGGACTGTCGCCCACGTGCCCGAAGCTCAGTGGTTGGCTGCGAGCTTGAGGGTCAGACAACACTCGTGGATTCAAATTACCCGTCTGCCATCCACCGGCTGGGGGACTTGGGGGAAGTTACTTAAGCTCTCTGTGCCCTAGTTTCCTTATCGGGAAGTGGAGCGGAAATGACAGGCCCTGCCTCACGGAGCGGCTGTGAGGATTCGGTCTTGGAGCTGAGGAAAGATCGGGGGACAGAAGGAAGGGGGGGAGACGAGGCAGAATCTGCCAGGACAGCAGGTGCAGGGAGGGAAACAGGGATGAGGATTTCTTAGTGGGGAGACACAGCTAAAGGGACAGACACTTCCATTCCAGGTATGTGTGTGTGCGCGTGCACATATGTGTGTATTTGATCTGTGGATGTCCTGGTTTACAGACAGCTAACACCCTCTCCCTGGTTTCCTTCTCTGATCACACACAGGACATAAAATACATCGTCTGGAAAATCAAACACGGCTCTTTTTCCCTGCCAAACTGGAAGGACAGTAAAATGCAAACATAAGCATTAAGCCAATGGGAGTCATCAAATTAAATACAGAAACGCCGGAGTGCAGGATGGAGGACCCTTCTGGTGTTTGCGGCAAAATCAAACCAGGCCCATGTAACAGGCGCCCACCATCAGCCTATCTGGCGCGCAGAGCGTTTATACCCTCAGAACTGACGTCATCCAGCCCATAGCTTTTACTGGGATTTGTGGCTACCCAAAGCATCTGTGCACGATGCTTTGTAGCTCCAAGGTCCCCAGGTATCGTCTTAGTTCTTACGACAGCCCTACGAGGGCCGAGAGTTCACCTTGTTTACGCCTCTGACGCCACCGCGTCCGAAAGAGGCTCCCAGAGAGGTCACGAAGGCTTACCTCTCAGCCCCCCTGCTGGGGAGGGACACCTCCCCCCCCATGACCCCTCTTCAGGCTCTGCCTCCTTGCCAATGCCTGCTGCTCGACTGGCACGGGACTAGGGCAAGCCACACGCCACGCCCACATGGCCCTGCTCTCACACCTTCTCTGATGCTTCTCGAGATCTGTCCTCAGCCCATGAAACCTGCAGCCCTCTGTCCCAGACAGCGATTTTAAGACGACTACCAACAAGCACTCCCGGGAAGGCTGCTGTGAATCAGGGTCTGTTTACGAACCCTGGGGATGGTTCTCTCCGCCGGCTCACCCGTGTAGCGGAAACCGTGGATGAAGCCCCCCGCAGACTTGCGGTAATCCACGGAGTGGCTGGCGGTGCCCAGCACAAAGAGACCCCGGCTTCCTTTGGACTCATAGCTGGCTTTGATCAGCGGGTACTTCTTGCTGAACTCGCCCCCGGAAGACAGTCTGAGGGACCTGTGAGCCGAAAGGGTTGTTCGTAAAAATCACTGCTGTGTACAAAACACTGCTGTGTATGAGCGTACTGTGTGCTCGGCACCGAGCTCAGTGCCCGTGCTTCATATTGCTTGTTGTGTCGAAAACACACCAGGCCCCTAGGAGCTGGGTGTGATGATCTCTGTTTGACAGAGAGAGTCCCTGAGGCTCAGCTTGAAGATGTGGTAAGTCAGGGACAGAGCAAGGTTCAAGCCTGACTCAAGGCTAGGCTCTGGGCTCCAGCGGGGCCCTGGGGGTTGTGCTGGGATGGGGGGGTCCGCTTCAGGCCCTCCAGTTTCTCCACCTCTGCCCGTGTCTTGGCCAGAGGAGAGGGAGACACGCTGAACAGATTCTTTGATACCGAGCTTTGCCAAGGTACTGGGGCAGCAACGTGTCAAGCAAAGCGGTTGAAAACAATTATAAGCGAACTTGGTGTCTTACCATTTTATGAAGCCTATAGGATATACCAAGCACTTTCCCATGTTATTCCTCACAGCAGCCCTATGAGAGAGAACTATGCTCTCCGTTTTAGTGATGAAGAAAGTGGGCACAGCCTGGTTAAGTGACTTTCCCAGAGCCCGTGTCCTTAGCCGCTATGCTAACGCGGCCTCTCAGCAAGTTCCCCTTCCTTATTCCCCCGAGCTCCCTTTCCCGTCTCTCGGGTGGAAGATCCCAGCGCAGAGGAAGGCCCCCTGTGGCTGCTGCTCCGGGACGCAGGGCCTCTGGGCCGCCCGTCCTTGTCAGGACAGCAGGCTCCCACCCTGGGTGGGGGACCAGGCGGCATCCATGTCCACCCTGATGGCGCCATCCTGAGAGCCCAGCCGCCGGCTCACAGGATGGTGATTCTCTGCCCCCTGGGGAGGTGTCAGAAGGGGTTCGCGAGGAGACCCCAGCTCCCCCCTGTGTGGACTCACTTGTTGAAAATAGAGAAGTCGAAGTTCCAGCCAAGGCAGCGGATGACCCGGTCATAGGCCACGCGCATGGCAAAGTTGTCGTTGTCGTCCTGGGGGAGAGTGACGGCGTCGGCACTCTGGTTGCCTGCCTCCAGGAAGAAGTTCAGGGTGACGTGGAACTTGCCCTCGCGGTCCTTCACGATGGCCAGATCCGTCAGGTCGGACTCGAGCAACCCGTCCAAGGACTTCAGCTGGTAGGTGTCCAGCAGCCCATTGTTGATGGCCCTGGGGCCCGAGGGGAACGCCAGGAGAAAGAAAGGAGTCTGAACGGGGCACGAGGAGACTCAGAGGAAGGGGTGCTTGTTCCAGTGGGGTCAGGAATGGCTTTGGAGGGGGCTGGCGGAATGGATTCCACGAGCAGCTTGCAGCGTACCTGAGGTCTCCCACGTAGTGGGTGGCCCACGACAGCCGGACCCGGGAGCGGCTCAGCATGTGGATGAAGTTGGTGACACCCAAGATGTTCTCCGCCGTCTCAAAGGCAGAGTTCCCGCGCCCCAGGATCAGTACATTCTGACCCTCGAAGTCCTCGGGGTCCACGGACACAGACTCGTATCCCTCCACGTACTCAGAGCCTGGGAAGTCAACCTGGTTGGGGACCGACAAACCGGTGGCCACGAGAAGCACGCTGCAGGGAGGGGACAGATGGAAGACTGCGACGTGAAAATTACTCCCTGCACCTGCCACCCAGCTCCCCCGCCACCCCCAGGCTGCCGGCTCCTAAAAAAGCCAGAGGAGAAGTCCGTTCATTCATCCGTTTACTGACCTATCCCTGAGTATCCGACAGACTTTTCGCCCTTGCCCCTCCCAGGCCCACTCCAGTGGACGTCTGTCTCCTTTACCCCGCACTGGGATGATGCCAAACATGAGAATTCATTCAACTCTCTGACTGCGAAGGGAACACGAGAAATTAAGTAATTCCCCTAATGTTGAACACAGCAGGCAGGCCAAGTGTCTCCCTCAGGGTTGAAAATGACTCTTCCCTTTTTCTTTGGTCCACTTTCCCTTTTCTGATGGCCGGGCCAATGCAGGGGACTGCCGAGCAGGAATTCTGTCCCAGGCCCCTACCGAGTGTTTTGTGCATCACCTCACTGCCTAAAGCAGCCCTGAGTTGGTGTTCTTTGGCTTTCCAGGTGAGGGGACATAGGCCCTAGAGGCCTATGGCCTCCCAAGCTCCTACAATAGCCAAGTCAGAATCTGAAACCAGATCAGCCTGACTGATTCATGCCGGAGGGCGTTACAGTCCTGGGCAGGGCTGCACGGTGATTTGATTACAGGTGGTTTTGAAAACAGAACCGGAGGGCTTCTAGAAGACATCCGCAGCCCTTGTGGCTCCTTGTTTTCCGACCCCTGCCCGCCCAGCTCAGATCTGACTCCCCTAGGCGGTTGTCTGGCGGGCTAAAATGCAAGGGTCCCAGGCTGGCACAGTCCTTCTTTCCTGGGCTGTAACAAGCAAAGGACAAGGCTGGCTAAGGGCGTTGAGAAGATGACCTCCCGGCACCTGCCTGGAGCCAAGTGGCAGCCCCATAGCCTGGGAGGGAGAGGCAGCCTGGTATAGCAGAAAAAGTACAGGCTTCGCGGTGAGGAAGGCGGGCTCAGATTGTGTGACAGCACCAGTGACTCAACTTCTCCCGCCCGAGCACTTTATCTGTAAATCGAGGATCAGTGAACTGCCCCCAGGGTCATTGTGAGGAGGAAATCAGGGCAGTACAGTGTGTGACTTGGAGTTTGGGTTGTCTACACAGTATTAAGCTTTCTCCCACGCCAAAGCAAGCTAAAACTGAACGCCAGCAGTTCTGCCTGTGGGGCCTCCTGCTCTAGTTCAGTCTGAAATTCCACTGAGCCCGTCTAACACCTGCTGGACATCTTCCCCAGCATGTCTTCAGAGGAACACTAGTTCTAGGATCTGCTCCTCAGGAAGGACTTTTGGGTACATAAGCTAGACGATGCTGAGTACCCAATGCTGGTGTCACAGTGACTGTGACAGATAAATAAAATCTTTAAAAGAAAAAAAAAAAGTAAAGACCTTATTCTCTCATTTCTTCCACATCTCCTGCCGACCAAGGGGTACCAGCAGGTGGGCTCCAGGAGGCGTTCCTTACCTGCACTCGTGTGTGTGACCCATCTGGTCGGTCAGGATGAAGTAATGGCCGTTCCAGGCCTGCCGGGCCTTGTGCAGAGTGACGTGAGTAATGGTCGTGTTGTACAGCACGTGGAGCCTCAGGCGCTGGGCAAAGTCGCCCAGGTAGCGCACCATGTCTCCCGCGTCGGGGAAGTAGGCGCGGGAGTAGTGTCTGAAGAGCAGCCGGGGGTCGTGGCTGAGCAGAGAGTTCCAGTCGTGGCGCAAGTTGAACTCCGCATTGGCCTTGCCCGTGTGCCTCTTGTTGATGCTGATGAGCTGGCGGTGGCGCGGGTAGCGCGTGAAGAAGCTGCCGGGCTGCGGGTTGCGTTCGAACACCGCATAGTCCCGCCCGGCCCGCTGCAGGAAGTAGGCCATCTGCAGGCCCGCGGGCCCGGCACCCAGGACGCAGTAGTCCCGGGGTGGGGGTACCGAGGTCTGGGCCGAGTGCAGGTACAGAGCCAGGTGTAGGGCCAAGGTCAGGAGCAGCCCCGGCGGGCCGCACAGCCGGGCCGTGGCCCAGAGGCCCATCCTGTGGCAGCCCGCGGTTGTGAGGTCTTGCACCCCGGATGGCCCCTCGAGGCGAGGGGCAGGGGCTCGCCTGGGCGCTCACCGCAATCGGAGGTCGAGCCAGGACTGGAGCCCAAGGCCCCGTGAGCTCATCTGCCTGCCCCCATCCTTTCAAGCTCGGATCTAGGGCTGCCCCCTGGATATCTGAACGCCTCCGTCTCCTCCAGTGCCTTGGTTCCCAGGAGCGCCACCCTCTTTCTTATTGCCCTGGTGGTATGAGGGTGGGTGTTCCCCCATTCTTCCCCTAATTTGAGGGGTGCCCGACACCCTTCCCGAGCCCTCCCCAGCTCAGACCCTAGAAGAACAGGTCTCTTTGGCTACGTCCCCGCCCTCGAGACCGAAGGAGGTGTGGCCCGCGGGGCCCCGCCCCCTCCGGGTGCCCCGCGCGCCCGACTCCTCGATCACGTGACAGTGCTGGCCCACCACACCTGCCTCCACGCGACGCAAGGCCACACTCTTCCCGGCGCAGCTCTCCGCGAGGCCTCTCTCCGAGCGTGCGCGGTGCCCACGCCTGCAGCGCCTGCCTCTCTGCACGGACCGCGGACCTCCCTACCGCACGCGCGACAGCCGGCAGTCGACTGAGGCCGCGCTCGGCCCGCTGGCGCCGCGGCGGCCCCGCCCCTCCCGCCCGGCCAATGGCAGGGGGCGGGGTCACGTGCGCGGCGCGCGGTACGCCGGGAGGGGCGGGGTGGGCACGGGCTCCCGGGGCGCGGGGCAAAGCGCGCACGTGCTCCCTGCGGGCTCGGAGCTGGGGGGCTGGTACAGCTGCGGATTGGGTCACGCTGGGGCGCAGCGTTAAAGCTGTGTTAAAGCTCTTGTGTTAAAGCTGTGCCTCTCCACGTGCAGGGGAGGCGCGGGAGCAGATGTCTTTTGGAGATAAACCTAGTTCTTAACACTCCATCGTTAACGTAGCCGGACACTTGTTGGTTACCCAGTTTTGGGGGGACTGGAAACCAGGTCGAAGTCGGGACAGAAAAAGCAGGTGTTTGCCACAGTGATTCGGTCTGTTATTTGCTCAGTAACATGCACGACTGGCTGGTTGTCCCACCAACCAGGAGAGGTAGGCGATTCTGTTTCCCACATTCTGTCGTCACTAGCCAAATGGAGGTTTAGCTGTGATTTGCCTGAGGGACCAAACGGTTAAGTGGAACCTGGAATTAATCCCCCGTCCCCCTTACACCAAATTATGAGCTCTCCAAGAAGTTTTTTGTCATGTTTTCATTCTTGGTAATGTAAACAAAGTGGCCCATGGTATGCCAGTGTAGACACAAACCCGCTGCGAATGCACAGCAATGGGCGTGGCTGCAGGAGAGGGAACGGGAAAGGTGGGAGATGATCCTGAACCACTGTTCAGGTGAACTGGATAATCAAGGCTGGCTTTGCGCAGGGGGAACGTGGATCCCGCTTCAGATTTACAGGGGCAGAACATATGTCCTTTTCTGAGAGGTACAGGAACCTTGGAGGGGCATTAAGTAGTCCAATGAGATGGGGCTGAGTGTTCTCATGGAAAGGCAGCCATGCCTGGTGTGGAGAGAACTCGATGATCTAACTTTGCACGGCTGGAGCTTTTTATTAAAAATTGTCCCTGGGACCTTTCCTAGAGAAGTCTTCCTTGACCTCTCAGAACAAAAGTACCCCCAAGGAGTGCCACGTATCTATTTATCGCTTGTGTCTGCCTCAGAGAAAAGGTCAATGGAACAGAAATGATCTTAGTCACTCTGGTGGCCTCTGTGCTTCCTACAAGACCTGGGATACAGCAAGCCACCAGTAAGCATTTGTTGAATAAACCCTGAAAGCAGAAGTACCTTGCCAGAAACTAAGTAGGAACATCTGCTTCTTGGTGGTTGGGACGACGTGAGAATGGGTGCAGGTAAATGAAGCACTGGAATTAGCTGCTGGTCTTATCTGGTGAGCAGAGGGAAATCAGGACTGATGAAGTATGGCCGGGCCTTGACAGTGGGCTCACAGGCAGCAGGATGCGGTGGAAGGTTTGAGTCAGGACTGAAGCCATCAGCTTGATGGCCCCAAGAAGGACGGAGAAAAGTAGCGGACAGATAAAGCAAACGAAGCCTGTGGAAGCTGGTGCAGTTTTTAGGGTCCAAGGCTGAAACTGACTTCCACCTGCCCACTCATCCCCTGCTAATCCCCCCGGACTGCATCCTGGTCTGCAAAGCCAGTCTGGTGAGGACCAGGCTCAACTCCGAAACCTCATGGCACTTAACACTTTCACGTGTGCTTTTGGACAATCTACCTATTTTGAAGACTCCCCAAGAAGCATGTTGCATGCCTTAACCAACTTCAGCGAAACCAATAAACGTTTGGTTGCTGAGGCTCAATTACTATTATTTTTAAAGATTCTGAGAAAGAAAGACCATGAGCAAGAGGAAGGGCAGAGGGACAACCAGATTTCCCACTGAGCCACCACGACCCCCTGGGCTCAATTACTCTGATTAAAATAGTAACCAGGAATGTTACTCAGGAGCTGAGCCCGTTTCCTCATCAGTACAATGACACCACTCTGACCAGCACTCCTGTTCTGCGTCAGGCTCAGATGAGATATTTATAGAAAGCTTAGTATAATACCAGGTAGGGTAATTACCTCAGACCATCAGGAATAGAACGCTATTCACTTATAAAGTTTACATATCCTAAGCATTCTGTAGGTGATTTATGACACACTGCCTTGAGGGTGCCGGCTTAGGACTCTGTCACCAGCCCAAACCAAGCCTGAAGACAATTTACAAACCAGTCATCACTGCCCAGTGGGACACCCATCAGAATCTTCTGGTGCAGTCTCCTTCGTAAGCTGCACACCCACCTCAACCTTCAAAGACCGTGCCCTCCTTCCCTTTACTAGTGATTTGTGTCTCTAAGGGCAGGAGCTAAGTCTGGCACATGGCCAGCAGGCACCCCTGCTGTGGAAACAGACCTCTCAGGGGGACCTCTGTTAGGTGCCTCAGAAAACTGACAACCATCCCCGGCAAAGGACCATGTCAGGGGGTTCCACGAACAGAAACATCTAGGACATTCACCCTCTAACAGGAGTATGAAATGAGTAACAAACGAAGGAGCCCAATTATGAACTCCAGATAGAACACAGCCATATCTCACCTTCCCTCTCCCAGGAGCTACTGGGGGAAGGAAGAGAAGCTGCCAGTCCCAGTGCAGCACATGATAAAGGTAAGAGACTAAATAGTTATACTTTATTCCACTGTCACACTTCAGCACGAATCAGATCAGCATTCCACTACGCATCCAAAACCCTTCCAGGCTCAGTGGAACGACAAACTCCGGCTTCACGTCACCATCTGGTTTAAGTTTCTTCCTCTGAAAGACAGAAAACGTTAGAGAAATGAGCCCTGTCATGCTGGGGAAGTGCTTGTGATTTTCCCCACTGCGTTCCTGATCGTCATGGGGCTACGAGGAATTTCCTGCAGTCACCAGCTGGGGAATGAAGCAGGAAAGAAGCAGCCCGGGGCCCGTGTATCCAGCCCAGAGCATCTTTCCTCCTCCAGACCACTGGCTAACCATTCCACTGCCTTTCCCTCCATGCTTCTTTCCCACCCTGGCCTCTAGGAGGCCCCTCTCCCCCCGCACCCCTCATGGGATCTGAAGGCTCTGGAAGCAGCTCCAGGCGCTGGAGGGCAGGCTGCTGCAGAGTCTAGTCTCCGGGAGCGCTCAGCTGGTCCCGCGTCAGGGCTCCAGAGAACAGTGGCCATGGAGCTCGGTCCCTAGCTAGCCTAACAGCCCTGCCTGGACTTCAGAAGGAGGCCTGCCACACACCTTCCTCCTCCTCCTCCTCCTCCTCTTCATCCTCATCGTCCTCATCGGAGCTGAACGTGCCGTCGGGCAGGCTGTAGACGCGGATGACCTGCTTGTTGGGGTCCTTGAGGATGAGGTACTTGCCCTCCTCCAGCTTCATGCAGATGTCGATGACGCAGCGCAGGATGCCCCAGGCGTTCTCCACGCTCAGGTTGATCTGGCTGGCGAACTCATTGGGCTTGAACTGCTGGGTGCCCAGGATGACGTGGCGCGAGGAGTCCTTCACGTGGTACCGGGACACATACCTTGCAGGGGAGAGGGGCGACCATGGTGGGGGCGGGACACACAGGGGCACAGCCACACCTGGGGCCCCGAGTTCTTCCCCAGGGACAGCGGCGAGGCCCGCCCCGCCCACAGACCGCCCCTCGCAGCCGGTGAATTCCGGGTGCCCGCGCGGACCTCACCCCAGCTTGAGATACTCGGAGCCGGCCAGCAAGGCGCAGCACGTCCACCGGGCCAGCTTGTAGCTGTTGTTCTTCAGCTCAGTGGCGATGACGGCACCTCGCTGCGAGTCCAGTTTCTGACGCCAGTCAACGCCGTTGCAGTGCTGCGGGAGGCAAGCCGGGCCCAAGCGTGAAGGGGGGCCCCTACTGCCTGAGGCCTGGGACCTCCTCCAGCAGAGAAGGGACTCCTTTGTGGGCTCGGAAGCGGGGAGTCCGCAGGTAAATCACAGGCAGAGACACGGCCCCTGGGCGCACAGGGGGCGCCCGGCAAACCCCTATCCCTCTAGTCTAGACTAGGACCCACGCGTGCACAGTGACACAGGGGCCGTATGAATGGCAGCGGCAAGCGTTCACTGTGTGCGGTGTGGGAAGGGAGGGCTCCATGGAGGGGAGGCGATGGCTCCCCTGGGGAGGATGCGGACAGAGCTGGAGGTGGCATGACGGGAGAGGTACAGAGGGAAAGACAGGCTGCAGGTCGGGTCAGGCCTGGGTGGGGGTGGAGGCTGCAGAGAGGAGGCCAGAGTCTGACCTTGTGTATATGCACGGGCAAACAAAGAGATCGTCTGCTCCAACCACCTCGTGTACAGATGTGCGAACTTGGGACCCAAAGTGAAGTGACTGGCTGAAGGTCAGGTGGCAGAGATTCTCAGATTGTCTTGGTTCATGGCAACCAGAGGCCTCCGAAAATACTAGTCCTTTAAGCAGTCAGGCCCAAACTGTTCAGGAATAGGACTTAGATACGATTCCCTCAAGACCACTCTTACGAGTTTGCTGTGGCATTTCGAGACTCTCTCCACATAGCCATGCTGCGCGGTGGGAGCAGTGTTTTGGACAATGAGTTGGCAGAGATCAAGCGAGCTGGGGGGTGAGGAGGGCACGGAGGAGGTCAGCTAGGCCCGCAAGTGCACAGTAACAGGCACGATCAACAGCATCCTGAAGTGGGCGAAGACGGCAGAACCGAGGGAGGAGACGGACTGCAGGTCGGAGAAGCCCAAGCAGATCTGAGGAACCACGGTTACAGTTCAAGGTTGAGGCTTGGGGTGGGCACCATTCTACTAAGTCATCGGGAGAGGACTCCCGACGGCTCCAACCCTTGTGCCGGGGGGAAACCGTGCCGATGAGGAAAGGTCATGCCCATGGTTAGGCACCTTCTCTGTCAAGGGCATTCTGCGCATGTAACTAAGGTCCCTTAAGATAGGGAGACCACCTGGGTGCAAGCCGGACACAGAGAAGTCAAGTCAGAGGCTGGATGCACGCTGATCTGAAGACCGAGGGGACCCTCGGGCAAGGGATGTGGGGGACCTCGAGGAGCCGAGAAGCCCC